CTGAAGAGGGTTGTCGGGTCACATGGTAACTGTATTCTTAATTTTTGGAGGAACCTGCATACTGTTTTCCAAGGTGGAAGTCTTTAGGTTCAGTTACTATAGTCAAGTTAAATGCTTTTCTTTAGTAACAAAAAAGCATTTTCTGCTGTTTATCTGCAGCACCCTTTTAGTTCAAATAAGCAAAGTTTACTGTTTTTTTTTCTTTAAAATTTTCTCAAAACAAAATTAAATTTTATTTTAATAGGTCTCAAAATTCTGTGATAGAATTTTGGTCAACTTGTTTCCATTAAAATTCTGATTTTAAAAACTAATAATTAAAAAAACTGCCACACACACAAAAAAAAACAAGTGGTCTACAAAACATTCTCCTTTCCTGAAGGTTTTATGATGAATTGTAATCATTTACCAGTCTTTTACTATTAAACTTAAATGGCCAAGTGAGACAAACATTCTGAGGTCATTCTCCCATCACTGATTAGGACTGGGGCGGCAGGTGCTGAGGATAATATTCATTTAGCCTTCTGAGCTTTCCAGGCAGACTTGGTGACTTTGTCAGTTCCAGCTGCCTTCTTGTCCTCTGCTTTTGATGACTCCAACAGCAAATGTCTCCTGTCACGGACAGCAAAGCAGACCAGAGAAGGATAGTCAGAGCTCTCAACACACATTAGCTTGCCAGGAACCATATTAACGATAGCAGCATTGCCAGATCTCAAAAACTTTGGGCCGTCTTCCAGCTTTTTTTCAGAACGATGATGAATCTTCTTCAGCTCAGCGAATTTGTGAGTAATGTGAGCCGTGTGACAATCCGGAACAGGCGCATATCCTGCACTGATTTGGCCTGGATGGTTGAGTATAATCACCTGAGCATTGAAGCCAGCAGCCTCCACTGGTTGGTCATTTTTGCTGTCACCAGCCACATTGCCACAACAAACATCTTTGACAGATATGTTCTTGACATTAAAGCCCGCATCGTCCTCAGGAAGAGCTTTGCTCAAAGCTTCATGGTGCATTTCAACAGACTTTACTTCAGTTGTAACGTTGATTGGAGCAAAGGCGACCACCATGCCATGTTTGAGAATACCAGTCTCCACTCAGGGACAGTAACAATACCAATGATTTTGTAGACATCCTGGAGGGACGGATGCAGGGGCTTGTCAGTTGGACAAGTTGCTGTCAGGATGCAATCAGAGCTTTAAGCATTGTGTTTCCACTGGCATTGCTATCTTTATGGGCAACTTTCGATCCCTTGAGCCAAGGTATGTTAAACACTTGGTTTCAGCATGTTGTCGGCATTCCAACCAGAAATTGGTACAAGTGCTACTTGTGTCTGGGTTGTAGCTAATTTTCTTAATGTAGGTGCTGACTTATTTACCAGTTTCCTCTTCTGGCCATTGGACAGCTCAGGGGAATCCATTTAGTTAACACCAACAATCAGCTATTTCATGCCCAGTGTGTAAGCCAGAAGGGCATGCTATTGGGTCTGCTCATTCTTGGAGATCCCTGCTTCAAATTCACCAACAGCAGCAATAATCAGGACAGCACATTCAGCCTGAGATGTTTTTGATAAAGTCTCTGTGTCCTGGGGCATCCATGATGGTCACGCAATACTTGCTGGTCTTGAATTTCCAAAGGGAGATACCAGTGATGATTCCACGCTCACATTCAGCTTTTAGTTTACCCAAGACCTAGACATACTTGGAGCTTTTCCCCATCTCAGCAGCCTCCTTCTCCATTTTTTTGATGGTTATTTTGTCGATCCCATCACATCTGTAGATCAGATGGCCAGCAGTGGTGGACTCGCTGGAATCTGTGTGTCCAATGACCCCAGGGTTGATGTGAGCTTTCCCTTTTCCCATTTTGGCTCTGATTAAGTGGCAGTTTTTGCAACACATGTGTTCTGGTGTTTTTAACACCAGAAAAAGCTGTATTTTTATTTTTAACAATGATTGCTGTGTATGGCAAAAAAATATCTAAGGTACAGAACTTACAGTTATTTCTCATTCAGTTGCCAGTGACTATTGTCATTTTTGATTAAATGATAATGATAGGAAACCTTTCAATCATTTTGAGAATCTCTTCTAACCTGTTTGCCCCATTCTCCTTTCAGTTGCATTTTTAACAAAATAGAAACATATTGTCTCCATTACCAGAGACAATAAATGTTTGCTTCTTGCTTTCCCCCCTCTCTATCTTTTAAAACACAACTGTAAATAATCTTTATGTGTACAGACAGGATATGTATATTAATGGGTTTGGGCTAAGAAAATTGTGATAAATATTTCGGCATTGCATAGGGCATGTGTGTTTTGATTTGTTGATAGGAATGATCACAGCATTGTGAGTTGCAAGGTGAGGAAGTGAAGAGAACATCACCAAAATATCTAGTCTTACAAACATGCCTTTCTACTGACAAATTCTTTCGACTCCTATGTTGCAGCTGTTGAGAATGGACGGATAGACGTGTTAAGGCTGTTGCTTCGACATGGAGCAAATGTTAATGGGTCCCATTCTCTGTGTGGATGGAATGCCTTGCACCAGGCTACTTTTCAGGTAACTTCTGAATTTATTATTTCATATTCCTGTAAATTGTGTGCTTTGCCCTTTTAAAGTGACAGTTCTATACAGTTTTTGCTTCCTACTTGGCTGTGATTTATGATGGTTAGTACAGTGCAGAAAAGGCAGTCTAAATGCTAATGACCACTCTGAATAAGCCAACTGCTCTGGTAGTTTCAGCAGCTTTGGGACAGGGGTTATCTAAGTTTTTCAGATGTTGATAGCATAGTTAAGAGACCTTCAGAATACTTGGGATATAAATTGATAAGGAGCAATGGCTTATTTTAAGTATAGCAGTGTTTAGAAACTATGATAACTCCTCAGTGCTTGGTCTAGCAAGCTAATTTTATAAGGATTATATTTCCTAGAGATCAGTATTTATCTGTTTGTTTAATGGGCTTGCTAAAGGTGTAGAATAATTTGATCATTTAATATTGGGTTGGCTAAAAAGTGTGTTTAGTTTTTTTCCATAAAATAAAAGACACCTTATTCATTTTCACAATAACTTTATTGATTTGGATATTTTGAGTGTGTCAGCTCTCTCCTGCTATTGGCTTCTAGAGGATTGAGGCCAGGGGTTCTGCTAAACATCTTTCAATGCATAAGATGCCCCACAGCAAAGAATTATTTGGCCAAAATATCAATAGTACCAAGAAACTTCTCAAACCATGTTTGATATTCATTCAATCATAGCACCTTCATATATTGTACAAATCTTTTTTTTTTGCATTTTAGTTGTGTTTTTACCTTTTTTGAAGTAATAAAGTATAATACACTTTTCAGTATAATACACAAGATTTTCATCTTGTGTATTTTCTTCCACCTTCAATACTAAAATAGCTGCAAAAAATTCACCAATTTTGAAAAGTTTTTTAAATGCATGCTGATATGACAGCTGTCACAATACAATCTAACAAAATTGTTTTGAATGAAGTTAAAGATAGCTAAGTGCTACTCGAGCTATGGTACGGAAAAAAACAACTGATTTTTTTTGCCAATCCAATACAACCTTCCCATCCAACTTTTTAAAAAAGGTTTTTCCTTTAGTGAGGAGAAAAAAACAAAACACAGTAAGGAAAGAGGTACTTTCTATTTTCTTTGTTTTATCTTATTTAAAATATGAATCTGTGCTTCAGGAAAATGCTGAAATCATAAAATTGCTCCTTAAAAGAGGAGCAAACAAGGAATGCCAGGATGACTTCGGAATCACACCTTTATTTGTGGCTGCTCAGTATGGCAAGCTGGAAAGTTTGAGTATACTTATTTCCTCGGGTAAGATTAATCCATTCGCCTTTGCACTGTTATGATCATGAGTGTTGACTGTGTCCTCCTAGGAAGAAGAATTCTTGACCAGATGTAAATCAGGTCGTGAAATTTATGGTTTTATGTTGGTGGTAAATAAGACTACATACAAGTTGATTTATAAGTCTGGTTACTAAGTGTCAATTACAAACATAATGTAATGTACAGCTACTAATTTATCTGGAGAGAAAAATAATGATCCATCACTAAAGCAGGTTTATTGGAAGCTGAATGATGGGGCTGTCTTTTCTTAGAGGGACCTGAGCAGTTCCAACTTTCTAGGGTAGAAGACTATTTTAGGATTGATTAAGTTTATTAGATAGCTATTTTTTTTATATTAAGTCTTTGAGTTGTATGTTTTGATCAATTGCATGATTATTTACATGGGTTTATTTCAAAGAATGTTTATACTTTTTTATGTTAATAGCAACATAAACCTGCTAAAAAGTTCTCCATGACAACCATTATACATTCAGCAGTGTCAGAGAAGATGGGTTGTAGTGGCTTTCTTAACTTTGTGTGACATTTGTGACCAGAAGCGTACGTTATGTAAGGGCTTTAAAATTTCTCCAAACACCTCACATGCCCCACATGAGTGCTAACCTGCCGAAGCGTGGATGGTGAAGAGCAGAAGGGAAATACACCAGGTTTGTCATCAGACAAATTAAATTTTTTTATTACATTTAATATAAAAATTATAAATACCTATCCTTTTCATATACCCCCTACAATACCTAGGCTTCTAATAAATTACTTCCAAATATATAAAAGAAAGTATTTACATAACAGGGCACATATTTCCTTATTTTTAATTTCTCTTTACAAACATTCAAGTACTCAAGTTGAAGTAGGAAGCAAAAGAAACAGTCATTAAGTTCCAAATTAAGATACCTGTTATAGACAGGAGTCTGTAAGTCTTTCGCTGAGGGGAATCTCCAAAATCATTTGTTTAGACATGTGGTTTTTTTTGTTTTGGGTGCAATGAATTTTATTGATGGTACATGACAAGGCAGGGCTCCCTAAGCCCCTCCCCTCTTCAGGGGGTCTCGGATGGAAACTGGAGGTCAGAATTCTCAGTGTGTTGGGGGATCAGTTTGGGTCAAGGACTCCCCAGCAGGTGAGGGTCTCTTCCTGTCTCGGGCTGGTGGTCCATGGGGCTCTTACTCCTTGGAGGCCATGTGGACCACAAGGTCCACCACCCTGTTGCTGTAACCAAATTCATTGTCATACCAGGAAATGAGCTTGACAAAGTGGTCATTGAGGGCAATGCCAGCTCCAGCATCGAAGGTGGAGGAGTGGGTGTCACTGTTAAAGTCGCAGGAGACAACCTGGTCCTTGGTATAGCCCAGGATGCCCTTGAGGGGGCCCTCCGATGCCTGCTTCACTATCTTCTTGATGTCATCGTATTTGGCAGCTTTCTCCAGGCGGCAGGTCAGATCCACAACTGACACATTGGGGGTGGGGACATGGAAGGCCATGCCAGTGAGCTTCCCGTTCAGCTCAGGGATGACCTTGCCCACAGCCTTGGCAGCACCAGTGGAAGCAGGGATGATGTTCTGGGTGGCAGTGATGGCATGGACTGTGGTCATGAGTCCCTCCACGATGCCAGAGTTGTCATGGATGACCTTGGCCGGGGGGCCAAGCAGTTGGTGGTGCAGGAGGCATTGCTGACAATCTTCATGGAGTTGTCATACTTGTCCTGGTTCACACCTATCACAAACATGGGGGCATCTGCAGAAGGGGCGGAGATGATGACCCTCTTGGCTCCACCCTTCAAGTGAGCCACAGCCTTCTCCATGGTGATGAGGACACCAGTGGACTCCACAACATATTCAGCACCAGCATCACCCCATTTGATGTTGGTGGGATCTTGCTCCTGGAAGATGGAGATGGACTTTCCATTGATGACAAGCTTCCCATTCTCAGCCTTGACTTTGCCTTTGAACTTGCCATGCGTGGAATTATACTGGAACATGTAGACCATGTAGTTGAGGTCAATGAAAGGGTCATCGATGGCCACAACATCCACTTTGCCAGAGTAAAAGGCAGCCCTGGTGACCAGGCACCCAATACGGCCAAATCCGTTCACTCCGATCTTCACCATCGTGTCTCAGGGTTGAGGCTTCTGGCACTGTGCAGGAAGACACGGCTGTCTGTTGAACAGGAGGAGCAGAGAGCCTAGACATGTGTTTTTGTTTTAAGAATCCCAGGTCCCGAGTGTTTGTCTTGCCAAAGATCTGAAGAATACCTCTTGGCAGAATCAGGACTTGGACCCAAGCCTTCCACCTCTCATCTTCCTTCTTCTACATTGTGCCTTCCTGTTCTAGTTCATTTTAAAGCTTCCAGTCCCATAAATTGCAATTATTAGTGTGTAACTAATATGTAGAATAAAATGGGTTAGACTGCACTTTAACGACTCTCCTTATGCGAAGCCTGTCTCCTGGGATGTTAAGCACCTGTTGTTTTGTTTTGTTCTTTTTTTCCCCTTCTCTTCTCTCTTGATAATTATGAACATCAAGTTGAAAAAAGGTATATAGGTGTGTTTATAATGTGATTATTCATGTTTCTTGGCCCTTAAAATGACATTACTTTCAGTGAATTATGTCATTCTTTTCCAACTTTTCCACCTGTAGTCTTATAGGGACTGGGTTTCTTATTCTCTGATACTTTGAAATTGTCAATCAAAATGAAACATTGCTTGAAAAAGAAAGTTAAATAGACCTTTTTTCTTGACTTAATATTTCCTCAGTGTAATAGTCTCTGCTTCTTTCTGAGGCTGATAGTAGGTGAAGCATCCACCCTTGTATTAAGATTGTACTTGTCGAGACATGAATGTCCAGTTGGAAAGTTGACCCATTTAAGTGGGTCCATAAAGTCATTCATGTTTTCCATAGTTTTTACCCATCTCATGGCTTTGGTTTATTAAAGGTGTATTTATGGAACATCCTCTTAAATAAAAAGTAGTTCTTCCCTTTTGATAATGATGATTTTACCATTGAGATATACTCCAGAAATTTAAAAATTCTCCTTATTGTGTAATAACATCATAGTTAGCATATTTAACACATTGCTTGTCAGAAAAGTTTGGGGAAGTCTCAGTTATTTTCAAACCTTTACAAATATTGAGGTTACTTTCAACTTTGTATCTTTATATACTTGTGTCTGTAACCTAAATAATTAATTAGATTTATGATTTTAAAAATTCAGCTCAGAACCCACTTAAATAAACTTTTTTCCTTTTATTATAGGCTCTGTCATGCATTGGCCATGAGGAAAAGAATGCAGTAGTCAATACGAGTGTAGTCAGTATGAGTTTTAAGGCATAGCCCCTATGTGTATCATATCTTCTTCATAACACTTAGCTTGAATTGATTAGTGGCATCCTCAAAGGTTCATAATTTAGTTTTTTTCTTACATTTTCAGTAATTATCAGAAAGGTTATCTATATTTGATGGTTTTCTTTTTACCTTTTTAAATGATTATTTATTGGAGCCAAAAAAGTGCTTTTTGAAAGAGGGGTTAGAATGAAATGAATCCTTCATTGACCAAGACTTTTGTTTTAACTCAAAAATGAATTCTAAAATATTAAGGACTTGTTTTCTTGCCAACAAAAAAGCAAAAACAATTTAAATGATTACCAACAAGTTAGGTAAGTCAGTGTGCTTATACAGCAGTATCCACTAAGGAGAGGAAACTCTTGTACAGTTGACCCTTGACTGATGTGGGGATTGGGGCTCTAACACCACCCTCTCCACACAGAGCTGCAAACCTGCATGTAACTTTGACTCCCTCCCAACTTAACTACTAAGAGCCTACTGTTGGCCAACAGCCTTATAGATAACATGAATGGCCGATTAACACTTTTTTTTGTTTTATGTATTATACATTGTATTCTTATAATAAACTAAGTTAGAGAAAAGAAATGTTATTAAGAAAATGAAGAGAGAATACATTGACCATGCTGTGTATTTATTGGTAGTATAACTTTACATCATCTGTTTACAAGGTGGAAGAAAGTCCTCATATAATTGGATCCGTGCAGTGCAAACCTGTATTGTTCAAAGGTCATCTGTACTGTGAAACTCTTTTAAGGAAGCTGTTTTGAAATTTATGTTCATTATTATTTTTTTTTAACCCCATAAATGAGGATAGGATCATCTGTTAAATGTCTTATTTTGTATTAGGTGCAAACGTCAATTGTCAAGCCTTGGACAAAGCTACTCCCTTGTTCATTGCTGCTCAAGAGGGCCACACCGAGTGTGTGGAGCTTTTGCTGTCCAGTGGGGCCGATCCTAATCTCTACTGTAATGAGGACAATTGGCAGTTACCTATTCATGCAGCTTCACAGATGGGCCATACAGAGTAAGTGTTAAAAACGGAAAATTAAAATAGTTTCATAATTGAAAGGTAATAAGGATTAAGTGTTCTGGGTCAGCCCTATTACCTCCAGACAAAATCCTTGGTATTCCCTTCTCTACCAAACTGCTGAGTGACTAGATCCACCCCTGCCTCTGTACTCCGTGCTGTCCCCAGTTCCTCTTAGTCATACACTTTTCCAGTGTAAGGCAGGCATTGTCTGGAAATGGGACAAGCCCAGGGGCTTTCTCTGGGTGTTAAGTCTTCTCCCTGATTTCTCAAGCTATGGCCATACTCTTACACTATTCTCCAGTTTTGTCCCAGGCATCTTTAGTTAGCTGTCTGATGGTCTTATTACCTATTTATCTTACTTCTGTGATTCCAGAAAGCTTTTGAGTTTGTGACTTCTATTGGAGTCAGTCTTTTATGTGGTTTGTGTAGGTCTTCTGTTTTGAACCCTTTGATTAGACTTCTGCTTATCTAATCTCAAGTCCAAACCAGGACTTTTCCCTGCTTATGTTACTCCTCCTTAGCCAGTTCTCATGAAACTTTTGGTATTGAGAGAGAGAGAGAGAGAGAGAGAGAGAGAGAGAGAGAGAGAGAGAGAGAAGATGGTTGGAAACCCTTGAAATTGGGGGTTCCAGGAATCTTGGAAGCTAATAATCTGGTTATACCTATTAGAATACAGTCATTTATCTTATCATAAATTGGCAATGAATGAGTTTCAAAAATATATGATTAAAGTCTTTAGAGTTACAATTCTACAATAATAACTTCATAGCTATTGTTAGTTTTATTTAACTAAAAAATTGTAGTGAAATTGTCATTAGTGTTTGTTGAGTAGGAAAGCAGATTCTGCAATTTGGTTATTTTGACACTAGGTGGCATCGTATTTTACCGTTTGCTTAAAGAAACTTGTAAGCATCTTTGTGCCTCCTAGGTGAGTATTTCTCTGACCCATTAACAAAATTAAATACGTTTAAGAAGATGTTTAAATAAATTCTTCATTTTAACACAATATTTGGGTTTTAAAATTTGGTATCTTTCTTAATTTTCAGTTGTTTATTTAAACATAAATCTTAGGTATAAGCATACAACATAAACCTCAGATCTTTAAATCTGAGCTTTAAATTGATACCAAAACCCTCTTGGGAATTTGTCCTCATTCACTCTCAGTGTTGAGAATTCTGTTTGTCCCTGATGATTTCTTCCACAGACTACTTCTAATCTCTGTAAGTGTAAGCTCTCCTTTAACAACTATTATCATCTTAGGCCTACCTTAAATAAATAAGGAAAAGTATCAGAGAGAAAGAACATACTTCGGAGTAGCCCTACCTTTCTTTTTCAGGAAAGGGGGGGGATTTCCTGGATTTCATTATCTCTAGTTTTATTTTTAATTTTAGAAAAGTAGACTAGTCCTTTCTCTGCAGCTGACTGCTGGATGTAAGTTTACAAATAATAGAAGAACTTCTGTTTTAATGATTTTTTAAAGCACTTTTTCTGCTTATCAACCAATTTTCTTTATAAATCTTCAGTGTTTAAAGAGCTCATATTTTTTTTCAGAGAATATTTGAGCAGAAATTCTGATTTCTTGCTGATGGAAATACTATTCATTTCATGTTACTTACCATTAAAAAATAAAACTTTAGTTTCTACTTTAAGAAGGAAAATAACTTGTTTCTTGATACAAGTTTATATGTACTACAATGAAATTTGAAATAATTGATTAGATCCTAAAATATCTAACATGAAATATGAATTTTGAGGAGTAGGATCATGATGGCACGGTAATTACTGAAAAAATAAGAAAGAACACCCTGTTACCTATTTACCTATAAGAACACTATTCTGTTTCAAATCAATTTAAAGATCTTTGTATTGAGCAACAATAATAAGTGTAACATTTTGGAGTATATAGCCTGTAATAATTTAATGTAGGTAGAAGCTATGCTGAAGACAGACTTTTATTCTGTGTCTATCAGTAGGTGACTCCCAATGTATGCTGTGGCCTATATTATGTGCCTATAAACACATTAAGTGCTTTCACATTTGTGTCCTTGCAGAATCTTGGACTTGCTTATACCACGTACAAGCCGGGTCTGTGACACTGGGCCAGACAAAGTGAGCCCTGTCTACTCAGCAGTGTTTGGAGGACATGAGGACTGCTTGGAAATGTTGCTGCGGCGCGGCTACAGCCCAGATGCCCAGATGTGCCTCGTCTTTGGATTCAGTTCTCCACTGTGTATGGCTTTCCAAAAAGAGTATGTCTATTTGCTATATTTTTATTCTTTTTTCTATATGGAGATGGTTTTCTAACTGTTGACTTTCTTTTATGATGAAGCTCGATGTGTCTTAGGCTCAACTGTTAAAAACAAAAACCAGACAAACAGAAAAAAACCTTCTATGATGTACCTTGTTCAGTCCAAATACAGTAAAAATGCAGTGATAATGTCAGATTTTTTTCCCCTTCCCTCTTTGGATATGGAAAATAAATGAGAGAGAGCGAGAGGAGAAAGAGAGGGAGAAAAACATCAGTCTTTCACTCTCCAGACTGGGGACCTGGCCTGCCACCCAGCCATGTGCCTTGGCTGGGAATTGAACCAGTGATCTTTCAGTTTGCTGGCCAGCATTCAGTCCAGTGAACCACACTAGCCAGGGGTGGATTATATTTTTAGTGTAGCAATTTTAAAGACTACTTTAATTATATTTTAAAAATTCAGGAATTCTCTGATATCCTTGGTCTCCAAAACAGTTTATGAATTAAAACAAACTTCCAGTTGTGAGATGAATAAGGTCTGAGGACCTGAGTGTAACATG